AAAAAAAATTTGAAAATTTTTCTTGAATTTGATACATGGGCGCAGTAATTTGATGGCTTATGATGTTACGCACTGTAGTAATTTATTAGACTATTATTACTTGATCACAAAATAGACTATTTTGTACTCATAAAATCGGTGATACGCAAAGGTAGAATAATATAAGGAAGAGGTAAGAAAAATTGTGCTTTTACGTATCACCAAGTGAGACAACAATTCAGCACTATGTGCCAAAAACGCAAATACACCGCACTCGAATGTAGCCAATTTCACGATCCCATCTAGGCAGCCAAAAAATAAAAATTGGCCGCCCAGAAGTTTCGGTCACGTGTACATCTAGGCGGCTAAAAATCAAAAAATGGCCGCACTCAAATGTGGCCAAAAAAACGGATTAGACCACATAGGTAGGTAACAGTCTAACATAAGTAGGTAACAATATATATATATTGTTACCTACTTGTTATAATAATGATTTGTATCTGTGTGCTTTTAACAAATAATATTCATTCTCCCACTCAATTACTAAAAAAAAAAAATCCAGGTCCATTGAATCACGAATTGTAGACCTATCAAATTGGAAGAAAGTTATTGGGGCAGAATACTAAAACCATCAGATTATGCTCAATTGTTTAATGTATCAAAGAGGAAATTATGTAAGAATTTAATTGACAAGGAAGTACAAATTTGTTACATGATGGATGTGGCCAAATAGTAAGTTATTTTTTTTTGTTTGTAGTTACCTTGCTTATAACATATTTATAGATTATTATTGTATTTTATAGAGATCACTAAATGATTTAAAATTATGGAAAGACAAATTCTCAATTTTAAAATCTGAAGATGCCCAATTAACTGCTGGAGTTATTGAATTTTTGTAAGTTATGGTTGAACATTTGAATGAACAAAATGGAAGGTCATTGGATTGTTTTTTATGGATACTAACTGAAATTTTATTTAGCCATCTCTGTTTATGGAGGGAAGTAAACATTCTTGTAATGCAACATTGGGAAAGAGATTACATTGTCAAGATACTAAGCCCAATTATTGGATTCATGTTTGAAGAACTTGATATTAGCACTTTTGAACTAAATTGGTAAGTGTCAAAATTTTACATCGCAATGATCTTAGCATTACATGTAGAAAGTGAAAATTTGTACATGAAGAATATATGGAATTAGAACCACCATTGAAAAAGATGGATTTAATAATATCATTATGTTCATACAAGGCTGAATTATTGGCACTTGAAGCAGGGAATGCTGAAGGTCCCATGGATTAAGGCTCCACATGAGCCAGCTCGCAAGCCAAATAACTTAGTAGGCTTGCAAGCCAGCTCACAAGCTGAATAAGTTTTTCGGCTTGCAAGCTAGCTCGTGAGGAGCTTTACCATGGATGATACCAAGTTCCGGCAAGATCATTCTAAAATCAAAATAGTAATGAAGGACTGCCTTGATTCCTTTTGGAATAAATTGCATTTTAAAAAAAATGAACTTGAAGAGGTCTTTGTAATGGGCATTCAGATTACAGGTATGTGTAAAAATACATCTTATTTATTTAGTGCAATTTGTTTTTCTGTTAAAAATTTTCTTATTTGGTATAGGCACAAGGTGGACGATCTATTCCCTTGTATACAATACTTCAAAAAAAATTTATTTTTTTACTGAGATGGTGACATTGACATTGCCAACATGCCAACAATTTTATCTGAGATGGAAGACCTTTTGCCAGATTTCTTGGAAAATCTTCTAGCATTACAGGTATACATGATATATTTGCCTTTCCAATCATTCCACCAGTGTTCACATTATTTTTATATTTATTATTTAGCATACACAAATAGAACTGGTTGCAAAGATTCGAAAATATTCTCAAAAAAGACTCTCTACTCCATCTCCACCCTCATCACCATTGCACGAAACTAAAGAGTCTCCCTTGAAAAAACAAAAAACTAAAGAAAGATCCTTTTCGTATCTTAGACAACTTATACTAAATAAAATAAATTAGTATGTCATTGTCATATATAATTTCAATGCACATATTTAATATTTATTGTAAATTTTAATCTTGTGGATGGTTAAATAATCAATATTAAGCTTAACATGTACATATATTATTATCTACATAAACAATAGAAGCATATAAACTTTACTCAATAAGGACCAATTCTCAAAGTTGCTCCAACTACTATTGCTATTGTTATTGTTAGTAGTGTTATTACTACCACTACTGCTACTATATCGCTATTGCTACTCCTATTGCTATCGGTACTAAAGACACTTACTGTAAATGATTGGACGGGTAGCTACCATTGACGTAAATAGCTTTTGGTAGCTACCATTTGTCATAATGACTGTGATTGCTGTGAATTATTATAATAATACGGTATATTCATTACCAGTAATCACTATAGAAGAATAGCTAGTGATTAATGTAAAAAGAAATTACACCGTCAAGACTTTCCAGCAAATATTTTTTCTTATTAATATGTATTCCTTGTATAAATCCGCGTTTATTCAAAATGGTGTTACTTTTTCGCTTCAAAGGTGAAATTATTTTTCAATACTGTAAAGTCTCGAAAGATAGCACTCGTGATGTTGCCTTTTATGGTTAGATTTTTCATTTGTCACGTATAATGTAAAATCATGATATTATTTTAGTATTGCAATTGAGAAAGTCCCTTTAGAATATTTAACCAATAACTTAATTACAATATAAAAGGACTATTGGTTTATTAAATTAAGCCAATAATTAACTAAAAAAATAGGATTAATATCTGATAAATATTGTCACTTTCAATATTTACTAATAGGCTTTTAGAATATATGAATATATGATAAAATACTAAGAATATTATTTTTAGACGTTTTATTTTTTGTAACACAAGATGTGTAACATGTAAATAATAAAAATTTTCTTCGATTTTTTTTATACATTCATCAATATGAGTGAATTTGAAAAGGTAAATTAACAAGTTTACTCGTGAATTAATTTATAATACTAATATATCTGATTTTGAAAAAGGTTGTTATTATTGATGCTAAAGGACATTTATTAGGACGCTTAGCATCAATTGTGGCCAAACAAATTTTAACAGGTCAAAAAATTGTTATTGTCCGTGCAGAAGATTTGAATGTATCTGGATCATTTTTTAGAAACAAGAGTAATTAAATCAATAATTCTTTTTGACTTTCTTTTAAAAAGCTTCTGTTTCATTGACCTTAATACAAATATAAACTCGCCATATACAAATATAGTCAAGTATCATTCCTACCTTCGCAAGCGATCAATTGTAAATCCAGCACGTGGACCATTTCATTTTCGGGCACCATCCAAAATCTTTTATAAGACAATACGTGGTATGATTCCACATAAATCATCACGTGGAGCTGCAGCATTAAAGCGTCTTAAGATCTTTGAGGGTATACCACCACCATATGATAAACAAAAAAGAATGGTAGTACCTGATGCTTTGAAAGTTTTGAAATTGAAACCAGGTCGTAAATTTACAACAATTTCACGTTTATCAAAAGAAGTTGGATGGAAATATAAAGAAGTTGTTGAGAGATTGGAGGAGAGACGTAAAGCCAAGAGTAAAGAATTTTATGAACATAAAAAGAAAGAAACTCAAATCAAGGCCAATGCTCTAAAGAACAAAGAAAAAGAGTTAAAGAAAGTTCAACAACAACTCAATGCATTTGGTTATTAATTTATTTGTTTAATTTGCAATAATAAAAAATAATTTTTATTCAAAAAATTTTTTAAAATTAAACATTGTTTCAAATTCGTTTACATTCTCTCTTTAATCATTTAAGCATGCATTTCCTTGAAATTTTTAGTTTTGAAATTTTATCATTAAAAAAAAAGAATAAATATATTAGCATAATGTTTTTATTTTTACTTAATATTTAAACAGTTCAAATTATACCAATGTTTAATGTAATTAATGGATGATTTGTTTAATAACAGGTCAACATTTGCTTCTCATACAAGAACAAAATCATTGGTAAGGGTAAATTCAATTAAATAATATTAATAATAATTTAATTAGAGGCAACAATTAAAGTTGACATTTTTGATTGCAATTCCAGAAAAGATATATATATGAATTCATATGGTAATTAATGTTACACTAACATCGAGTTTATAATACATACTAATATCATTTATACATTTAAAGATTTCAATCAATCAAACACCACTATTTATTTTTATTTTGATGTTTTAGGATGTACTTGGTTTCTTCTTCTTTTCTGCCTCTGCCTCTTTCTCTTTCTCAATTTCATTTACTATAACTTCAACCTCTTCAATTTCCAAACTCTGTATGTTTATGAATTATAATAATATTAATAATGATTAAAACCATTTTGATTAAAATTACATAAACCTATAAAGATCTAGTAATAGTAATAATACCAAAAATTGTTAAAGGGTTGTTTACCTTAATTATAGCATCATTAGTCATCACTGCAATCTCAATATTTTTGGCACCAGTTTGCACAACCTAATAAATTATAAACTGTTATTATCAAATATATACACACATGCTCGTCTATATATAACAATTATCATACTTCTAAGAGAGATTTAACAGCCAGTTTTATAGTTTCATCTTTTGATAAACCTTCTTTATAATTTTTTTCCAAAAATTCACGAACAGTTTTTGAACTCCTTCCAATTGAATTTGCCTATTGATTTTTTTAAAAAAATTTTTATCAAATTTAAAAACACTTTTAATTAAAATATTAAAAAAATAAGCAGTGTTTGTAATATTTACCTTCCATGCTGAATATATGCCAGATGGATCAGTTTGGTAAAGTCTTGGTACCTTATCATTAGCATCAAATCCAATAATAAGTGTTGAGATGCCAAATGGACGTACACCACCACTTTGTGTGTATTTCTAAAAATAATAATAATATCTAAATATTTATTCAATGTTTAATTGAGCGAGAGTATTTAAAATACATACCTGTTGAACACCTGCAATGTAACGTGTAATATATTCAACAGTTACGGGATCTTCAACAGTAAGTCTATGACTTTGACATTCTATTCTAGCTTTGTTAACAAGAACTCTTGCATCTGCACTAAGACCTTTTACAATTCATTAAGAATATATTTTAATGTTTTTATTATTAATTTATAATCCTTCATTCCCCAAAACAATATGGATCATTAATAATAATAATAATAATTCTGTACCAGCAAATGCCATGCATACATGATCATCTAGCATGACAATCTTTCGTACAGTACGTGGATCTTGTAATTTAAGAACAGATTTTTTTTCAACACCGAGAACAACACAATCTTCACCACGGACTCCCACCTATATAACGAATTAATTGAAACTTTTAATTTATTGCCAATAAACATAAAATTGATTGAAATTCGTTAAACGTAAACAATAAAGATAAAATACCGCACAGGTTCCTTTTCTAACAGCTTCTAAAGCATATTCAACTTGAAATAAATGCCCATCCGGTGAAAAAACAGTTAATGCTAGAAAAAAATAACTAAATTGAGTTAATTATAATCTCATATTAAAAATCAGAGTTTAAATAAAACAAGAAAATTTACCGCGATCATAAGTTTTGAAGTAAAATTCCATTTTATGCAGCCATTGGCGTGCAGTTTCATGGCTAATGAATGAAATATTGAATAAATAAATATTGATTGCAGTT